GAAGGTTTTTTGGTCTGCCATAGCATTTGTGTATCTAGTGGCACTGGGGAGAATAGATAAGAGTCAGCAAAAGGTGTGAAGGGAATCCACTTTCACTGGATGCCTTCAGATGACTCATCTGACTCTCCCCAGTGCCCTGTGCAGATAAACTCCGGCTCAGAAGTTTTGTCTTCTGTTTGAGGAGGCAGAAATGCAGAACATCCCTCCCGCTGGGACCCTGATCTGGCCAGTGCATGTCCTGCTGCACCAGGAGCTGCTGGGGTGCTTCAGGGAGTGCTCCCTGCCCTCTGGGCTGCTTCTTGGCAGGAGCTTAATAGAGGAGTTCCTTCCTGATTAATTCCTGTCTGAGGCAAGATAGATGATTTGCATTTCTCTTAACCACATGCAAGAGCTGGGCCATACATCGATCTGATCCTTTTAAAGCCTCAGCCAGCAGCTGGGTAAATTGCAGGGCAGGACTTGGTTGTAGCCCTGGAAGTGTCCGTGTAAGCTCATGTTTATTGTCTCCTCCGTGCTGCCAGGCTCCCAGAGATTTCATCTCTGGGCACAGGAGCAATAGGATCTGCTTTTGACCATGTGCTTCATTTGTTGATTAAATCATGACAGTTGTTTGTTTTGGGTATTGCAAAACTCCTCTTTAAACACTGCGTATGTTTCAAGTCAACAAGAAAAGTTGCAGGCTTCACTGAGCAGATTATAAGTTTTGTGAAAGTGTGAAAACATGGCATTTGGTTGTGAAACGTATGATTGAATCAAACTTGGTCTCCAACTGTTGATATTCTGAAGAAATCTTGGCTGGCACCTTGGTATAGCAGAGTCCTCCCTCTGCCTGTCCCCAAGTTGTTCAATTTATAATTTTCATTTATAATTTTCAAGTTTCCCTTGTTTTTTGTGAGTTGAAAATTACTATATTTGCTGCATTTATAGGGTATTTCAAGATAAGCAGATTAAAAACATGAAACTAAGCCACAGAAGGTTTCAGGAAAATGGGGACTCTAGAAAGCCTTTGCTCCTTTTTCCATGTTTATTTGGAACAAGTGCATTGGATTCAGACTGGGTTTTAACAAAGTGCAGAAGCTGCAATAGGTCTAAGTTTAATGCCTTTTAGTGACTCTGGAACAAGATGCCACTTTTCTAAACACAAATAAAACATAATCAACAAGAAGCTTGGGGAGAGTTGATGCCCAAATGCATGAAACTTGATTTATCTGGTTAGTGTCTCCTGAATTCTGCACCGCAGTGTCAGTGATCTGGTTTTTCAGATGCCTTTCTGTGCCATGTCTGCAGAAGGGCAGCTGAAAAACTTGTGGGCATTTGCTTTTTGTTTATCGTCCTCTAAAGTCCCAGCTGTTGGCTGGAGGTCATGGACATGGGCGGACTTGCATCTCAAGAGATCTGCTGTTTATTTTGCAGAAATAAATAAAAAAGTACAAGCTTGGCAGATTTCTCCTAAACTTCTTGGGCCTGCTTCTCCTCTGTGCTGGAAAGGGGTCTTTAAAGGTGCTGTAAGGAGATGAACATGCATCCAGGAGCCCTGGCAGCGTGTGCCCTTCTCAGAGCAGTGGGGACTGGTGTCCTGCCTTCAGCTGCAGCAGGCAGGGCAGCAGGGCTCTGCCCTGAGTCAGTGCTGTGCTGCAGCTGCTCCGTATCCTGGCTCTGCTCTCGCCCTTTCCCATCTCTGTGGGTTCAAGGCAGCTGGAGTACTGCTGCTTCTGGTGCGGGGTTTGCCTTTTGTGACGAGTAGGACGTGCCATTTAGCAAGCAGGCAGTGAGTAGTTACTATTGGCTTTATCTCTCAGTCAAGTTTGTGGTTGGAGACCTGTGTGCTGGTTGTGGGTTTTTATGTGCGTCACTGAACCCAGAAATTTTATTATATTCTCAGAAAAGGGTTTTGCAACAGCTCAGCTATTAAAGCCAAACCATGTAGTTTAGTAAAAAGTCTGGGCAGGAAACAACAAAATGAAATTCATCCTAGGGGAGAAGCGTGCTGCATGTAGGCTGGGACGAGAATGCAAATACACTATTTATAGGACATGGGGAAAACAAATTTGGACTTGAGGAGTAAAAGCGAAAGAGTTATCCGGGAAAAACCAGCCTGAGACACTCAGACCTGTGCTGCCAGAGTGCTTATCCATTTTGGAGAATTTGTTACATTCCAGCAAAGCAGAAAAGCTCCACATTGAAATCCATGCTGCGCAGAGTCCCTTCCAGCAGTGTCCTTTAGGAGTTTGTGCTATGGATGACACCTGGGCAGGGGAAATTGTTGAACCAGTATTTTTTTAAGCAGTACCAAACCAGCTGAGGCCGGTGCCTGCTCCAGGGAGCTCCTGCAGGACGAGCAGGCAGAGCCGTGCAGGGAGAAGGGGAGGGATGAGTGCATTTGCTCCTGGTCACTCAGACCAGTCTGTGTCAGAGCCAGGAGTGCAGCCCAGCTCTGTTCTCTCACTCATGTGATGCTTCTGGAGTTACTCGGGTTGGCCAGGAGAACTTCTGTGAGGAGTGCAAAAGCAGTGGCTGTACCTCAGCCATAGCCTGCCCGGAGCAGCGTGCTGTCCTCGTGACGCTGCATGCTGGAATTGGGGAACGTGGGGCACACACTTTGTGTATCGTTTCTTTTACATAATTTGTGATTTTTCATTTATAAATAGATGCTAAGCCCTCCTTTCCTTCCACTGTGGTTTTTAGAACAGATTCTGACACCTCCAATGCCTGCAGTTCCCTGCTTTATTCTGGAGCATGTGCTACTTTTAGGGCATTTGCCTGTAATTAGTGTTCCATATAACGAAGCATGGAGCTCTGTCTTTACAGAGTATGCTGATAGCTTATCCTTCTCCCAGGAAAAATAAATTTTGCCTGATGGGAGATCCTACACTAAAATAACAGATTATAGTCAGACTGGAGATCCAAGCTGCTGCTTTAGACACAGGCCCATCAGGGCTGGCTGTACCAGTTCCAGAATCACTGTGCAATCTTGCCTCTGTCCCTAGGTGCTCTGCAGCCCTGAGGCGTTCCCAGGAATGGGGAAGGGTGAGGTGAGCCAGGGGCAGCAGCAGCTACATCCTGCAGTGCCCTGGGAATTCCATGGACAGGCTCACAAACACGCTGAGCTGTCTGCCTGGGCTGGATGCTGTGGTTGCAGTTTGTGTATCAGAACACATATCGTCATTGGCCCTTCCCTCGAGTGGCCTCTGCAAAGAGACAAGGCTTGGGTGATCTCTGTCTTCCTTCTCTTTTCCATGACATAGCTATTGCACAGTTGGGAAGCTGTTTCTCATTTGTGTAAGCTGATTTTTGGCATACCGGGGGCTGTTGAGTCTACAAACTTCCTGCAGCCTCTTCTTTCTGCCTGTCCTGAGGGGCCCTTGCCCATCTGCTCATGCCAGTGTCAGTGTCCATAGAAGGGAAAAGCACACCGAAAGAAAGAAAATTCAAAGCAAGCACCGAGCAGGAAAATCCTTGGGACAGCACCTGCAAGCTCCTTTCTGCCCTGGCAGTGAACAGGAGAGCCCTGTGGACAGGCTGCTGTGGGAAAGGACGTGTGACAGTGGGAAAGCAGAAGGTCAGCACTGAGGCAGCCCATGACAGCACGTGTGTGCCCCAGAGTGCACAGGGCTGCCTGCAGGATCCCAGCTCCCCTGCTCCAGAGCCAGGGGAACTCGGGGCAGGGCACAGCTGAGGGGCTGGTGCAGAGAGGGCAGCCAGCCCTGCCAGCAGCAGCCCCTGGGGTGACACAGGGCCCAGCACAGGGCACGGACAGAGCCCCTGGCCCTGCCTGGCACACAGCAGCAGCGTGGCAGCCTCTGGGACCCAGGCACTGCTGAGCCCACAGCCAGCCCCTGCCCTGCCCTGCCCTGCTCTGGCCAAGGAAGCAGAGCAGGGCTGGAAAAAAGGAAGTGCTGTGACCCCTTGATATAAAAAGAGGTACTGAGAATGAATGGTTGGGATTTCCAGTTCACTGCAGGGCTGGGGCTCCAAAGCCCTGTTGGGAAGTTGTGGTGAAAAGGCTCCTCTGGTTTCAGCAGGGGTGGTCAGGGCGAGAATGCAAAGGGATGGCTGAGTTTCTAGGACATGGCAGTCCTGGATTGCCTCTCCTGGGAATGGCAGTGCTTTGCATTGCTCTGGGCATTACAGGAATTGGAATCACTTCAGTATTCACACACTTTTTGACAAATCTCAGGCTTCATGGTACTGCTGTCAGAATTTGGTGTGTGGGCAGGGACAAACTTGTTACAGCTGATAGTTGTAAGGAATAGATTGCTCATAAAACATGCTCTCAACTAACTTCATAGAAAAGCACTTAAATTGTAAGAGGAGACACATGATGGTTGAAGAATCCATGTTTGTTATTTCCTTTACATTTTCAGTCTGATCATGTCCCAGATGCTAAAATTTGTTGACTAAGAACATGTTTTGGTTTATAAATCATGGATCAGCTAACTTGCTTTGAGGCATTGTTTTGTTAGGAAGGTTTTGAAGCTTAAGCCTGCCTCATGGGAATGTGTGACACAGCGAGCAATCTTTGGAGAGTATTTTCTTTTTGATAAGCAAACATAAGGCACAAACAATACTCCTTTTTGCTGTTTTATTCTTTTGTGCCTTAAGTGAGGAATTCTGTGTAGTGCATTTGCCATGAGATGGTCAGGAGATAAAAGCTTTGGAATAAAACTTTAGAATAGAAGATGTGCAGAAATCATCTGGTCCAACTGCCTGAATTTTTGTTCTTTGAAGTTAGCTGGTTTTAATGTTGATTTTGTAATAGAAATGCCCATCAGATAACAGGCCTCAGAATCTTTGGGTACTTTGGCTATTCCTGCCTCAGAACTGCTGTTGATGGGGGTTTAGAGCAGGCCCTGCCTTCTGCTGGAACGCTGAAGGGCAGAGAAGCTCAGTGTGAGGGGAATGCACTGCGTGGATTTGCCCAGAGCTCCCAGGAGGATGTCACTCCTGTGTCACAAGCCAGCACAGCCCGGGGAGGCCAGCCCGTGCCCAGGAAGCTCAGAGTGTGTGTTTGCTCCCCAGGTGAAGCTCATTGACTACATCCACCGGCAGCGGCAGTGCAAGCTGAGCGTGCCCCTGAGCGACCGCACCGCCGAGCTCAACAGCTACCCCCGCTTCAACGACTGGCTGGACATCGTCAACGTCAGGAAGGAGGTGGTGCAGGTAAGGAGGGGACACAGCCCCCACAGCGCCCTCCTGTCCCTCCAGTGCATCCCCAGCTGCCTTGGCTCTGGGAGCCACGGCAGGACTTCATCACTCACTGCCTTTGTGACACTGACAGTGCTGCGCTGCACCGTGTTCTGTGTCCAGCATTAGCCAAAACAGGACTGCTGTTACAGTCTCACACACACACACATGTAGAGCTCAGTTCACTGACAGTTAAACAAGGCAGAAAAGGCTTTTTCTATTCTTTTTCCCATTTTTGCCTCTGCAGGCCAGGTCACAATGTTCTCATTCAGTTTCCTTTGATCGCTAAACAACCACAATTTTTCTTTGACCTCAGCAGGAATCTGCCTGGGTGAAAAATTCCACAAATTTTCATGGAAGTTATTCCAGCTTGGTTCTGATGTAACTAAGTGGTCTCTTAGTTAAACAGTATGGGTTCAGGACAAAGTTGTTCCTTTTATTTCCTACTGTTCATTTTGAGTGTGGTGCTGGTGTTGCCTTCCAGCCCAGCAAGGTTTTGGGTGGCACAGCCAAAGGTGCAGCACAGACAATGAGAGGACAAAAGCAGCCTGTTGCTGTGGCCAAACTGCCAGGCTCCCAGCTAGTGCTGGTTTCTAAGGTTACTGGAATTGCCTGAGTCTAAAAGAATGTCTTTGTAGCTCTTTTATAAATCCTTTGTGATGCCTACAGACAGGAGGGGGGAAGAGGTGAAGGAAAGGGAGGAGGACAGTTCAAATCTGCTACATCCTGCTAATTCAGGAAGCAGAGAGGGTCGAGACTGCCCTTCTGTATGTGTGGTCACTAAAAGGGGCGAACAAGTTCGGGTTTGGTCTAAGGCAGAAAGAATTTCCCAGATCTGTATCATTTTGATTTGTGCTCTCTTGCTGCCCTGTCCCAAGCAGTGTCCAAATAAGTGAACTCTGGTCCTTCTGGGACAGAACTGTAAGTGTACAAAGCACTGAAACTCCTCTGGGATTCTGAGTGTATGGTTATCTTTTAAGGGTTCTGCATCCATTTCATGCAGCTGCAGGCAGCTTCTGTAGCACTTGTATTAGCTGGACAGCAGAACTGCAGCACCCTGTGGGTCATTAAAATAATTTCTGGGTAGGCATGCTGGAACAGGCTGTGAGCTGGGGGAAGTGGAAATAGCTGGGCTAATAAACTAAGTGCTCTGCTCTTGCAGTGGTTTTTTTTTTCAGTCCTGTTATTTCACTGCTCAAAAAATAGCCATGCAGCCACTGTTGGTGCTGGACACTGACATCAGCATAGTGCTGGTAACTCTGGGATGAGTTACCTTTCAGAAATGTCTCAGGTATCATGGGATCATTCCTGCTGTTGTTTAGATTCCATACAGCACGTTGAACTGCATTTCAGCTGAAAGCTTTCAAAATGGAAATCACTGACAGAAGGAGCTTTAATAGGTTAGTTATTACAAAATCCAGAGTGGTGTCCTGCTTTGTGCACACTGCCTGTGACAGGATGGGGAGGAGCCTTTGCAGACAGAGTTGAGCAGGTAATGCTGTGAAAATGGGGACCCTCGAGTGGTTCTGGCTCTGGGCAATGGGGAACGGCTTCCCATCTCTCAGATACTGTTAGGTCGCTGTAAAATGGAAATAGGCATGCTGGGTTTCCTTCTTAAGGCTTCCAAAAAATGGTGCAGAGAGGAGGAAAAGTGCACAAGTGTCACAGTGTGGTCACATGGCAGAACAGCCCTCTCTTCTTGTGCCTTTCAGGCTCTGAAACTGGAGAGGTTGCCAAGTACCTGTGGAGTCTCAGAAGAGCTGAACAGAGCAGCAGGTCTGGCACAGGAGGAGGTGCAGTGGAGGGCTCTCTGTGCCTGCTGCCTCTCAGGGACAAACCAGGAGAAAGGCCTGGGTTGATGGGGTTTTGGCTTTTTCAAATGGTTCTGAGTCCCTTTGCATTTCTAGTGCTACTGGAGGGAGTGTTTTCAAGACTGTGTTAATCTGTGACATAACACTGTTGAAAAGCAGCCTAATTGCAGGAGTTCTTTAGCTCAGCGGTGAGAGGAACAATGCTCTGTTTCTCTGTCTCCCCTCCCCTCCCCTCGCTCCCCCCAGTCCTCTCCCAAATAAAGCTGCCATGCAGGGAAGCACAGAAGCTCCCAGGCTCTCCTGTCAGAAATAGAGCAGCAGCTCCAATTTAGAATATCTGCTGACTCCTCCACTCCTGAGTGAAGACTATTTTTGCTCAGTGACTTGCTCTAGACATTGTGAAGCTCGAAAGCTCTGGTGATTATAATTGCTGGGCTCCTTTATTTCTTTGAAAACCTATATTTAAAACGAGAATAATGACTGCCTGTAAAATCCTTTAGTTGTGGAGGAGATTACAGCACTCACAATGCAGTGTTTATGGCGCTGGGCGACAGCGAGAGCTGCCGAGAGCAGGGACGGCAGCGAGC